CAGAACCTTCAATAATGTTATAGTGTTATGAATGATATCCAGTATCTTAATACACCTACAAAATTACCTACAATTTTTGTGAATATTTTTCTATCATGAAAACATTGATTTTAATTATAGATGAGAAGCAATACAGTCACTAAAACTAAATTTTCTCAGTGAGGTTTTTTTTTCCCACCAAATATGTGTATATTGACACGCACATATATAAAATTATTAACCAACAGTGATCGTCATCATATGACTTACATAAGCTGTTAAACTAGTAGTAAAAATTATAACAGAGACAGGAATATTAGTATCTCTTCCTTAGGTGCCATTATCATCAACCCCACATCGAAGACAATATAATCTTTTGTACTCTCCTTGGAACTCAGGTCAAGGTTATTAAAGGAAATTTTGATCCTACCCAAGGTGTCTTAAATAAGACAATAGGGAGATATGTTCCAATAATACAGTGGGCCTATAACTTTAAACTCCAAACAGAGGACTTGAGTCCTGAAACATTTTACTTCTTTGCATTTCAGGCCCTTCATCTGTATAAGGAAAATAAAGCATTAGTTCACAGCGTGGCTCTGTATTTCAATGCGATAATACATCTTAAGCATCTTGCATATGCTGGGGCGCCTGGGTGGCTTAGTTGGTTAAGTGTCCGACTTCGGCTCAGGTCATGATCTCACTGTTTGTGAGTTCGGGCCTTTCATCAAGCTCTGTGCTGACAGTTCAGAGCCTGGAGCCTGTTTCAGATTCTGTGTCTCCCTCTCTCTCTCTTGCCCTCCCCTGTCTCTGTCTCTCAAAAATAAATACACATTAAAAAATAAAAAATAAAAAATCTTGCATATGCTTACGTGTTTTTTGAAGTATTAAGATCTCTGTTCTGAATAGTGTATGTTTTCCACATAGGTGGCTTGTAGCAGGTATTTAATATTTATTGGAGTTTTCACTGTCTTAGGTGTAGCATAAGACAGAACCTTCTTCTTTAAGCATTACTATGCATGTGTTTTGATTTTGAAAAGATACATTGCCTCTCTGAAAAAAGAATGATCCTGACTGGGGTGGGTAGTTCTTAGCACTAGCCATTAGGGTATTAATGTCAGCCATAAGAAGGAAAGAAACATCACTGACCTGGTGTTAGGGGGAGATGATAAAGAACAGAAACTTCTAGCTATATAGATTTAATTGATTTTCGTAGTCCTGCACAACAGTAAGTACAGCTCAAAGTATGTATCTGATTACAATTATCCATGGGGAAACAAGGTAGTTAGTGAATCATTTTGTTACTTACCTTGTGGGGTTTTACATTTACAGTTGCTCTGATTACTAACAAGTGACTTTTAGACACCCCAGGATATGTCGATGGTCTCATCTGTGCATTTATTAAATACTTAGTATTATAACTAGTAGATATTGGATATCACTGTTCTGAGTGTTTGGTATGTACTGACCCATTTAACCTTCATAATCTCATTTAATCTCGTGAGGCAGATACTACAGATGAGGAGAATGAGAAGCCAAAATTTCAGTAACATGCCTGAGGTCACACAAGTAGTAAATAATAGAAGTTTTGAAGCTACAAAGTGCAGCTTTGATCACTAAATTCCCTTGAGGGCTCTCCAATGGCACAAACCCCTCAACCACAAAGCTTCTGGGCCTTCACTGTGCAGGCATATCGTTTAAAGATCGTGCTACAAAGCAGATTCTAACTCAAAAGGTTTGGGTGGAGGCTGGGCATCGATAGTTCTAGCAAGACCGCAGGTAGACCCAATGCTGTGTGGTCCATGGACTACACTTTCAATAGCAAGGCACCAAAGCACTACATTTGCACACTATTTTACCAGGAGCCAAAACCGAATTTCAAGGGCAGATTCGTTCATTCTTAGTTTAGTGATCACAACTAAAATATCTAGATATCTCGGCCCAACAGAACTGCAATGAGATGACACTTCATGAGCCTAGTTAATGAACGTAAACTGATCTCATGTTCAGAAATTGACATGATTTTTACGATTAGATGTAGTTTAGCGTCTAATTAATGGTGATGCAGTCTACACTGTACTTCTTAAATACTGGGTTATTTGATCTCCACAGTAGACTTGAGCAGTAATGGAGTATGACAAGTACTTTTGAGGAAACAGACCCAAGGAAAGTGGCTACTTAGGCACTCTTAGGCAGCAGTGACCACACACAGAGGCCCAAACTCTTCTCTTCCCTCAACTGACCTTGATGTCTGGCCATGTTCCATTAACTGATTAAATGTAAATAGATGGAAATACAGAGTAAATGGATACAGAACAACAATAGTACCTGAAACAGGTAAGAGGCAGCCACATTCTGATTTTGCTTTAAATACACAGGTAACCAAGGCCAAAGGAATTTGGAAGCATGAATATTGAGTAATTTTCTATTGTTATTCCATTAATATAAATGTAGCTAAATATGAACAACATAGCTGCATATATAATTTTATTATGCTGTTAAAATCAAAATTAAAGCTGTTTTCTTAGTCCTATTCACTCCCTCACCCCGAGACCACCTATGAGATGATATTTGTATTATTTCCTTCCCAGACTCTGTAGGTTTGGTATAGCCGTCAGGAAACTGGTTATTTCACCTTTTGTGTTAATTGTAATGGAACTAAATCTGTTGGAATTACTTTTTTCATAAGCAGATGTTAAAAATTTTATGAAACCATACTCAGAATTCAGAGTTGCTCTCTAAATGTCAAACGTATTTACCATCCTTAGAAGACTAATATTTTCACAGAAAAAAAATCCCTTTGAGTTACTCTGGAGATGAAGTAATGAAGATAAATCAAGAAATGCTGTCAGTCACTAGGAAAGGAAAATACCGGAATCTCTATATTTAAAAACACTTGCGAATAGACAGCAAAGATTCTTATCAAGCCTAGGCCTACTAGACATATCTGCGATTTATAATGTTATCTTTCTTATCATTGGCAAGGGAAATAATACCTCCACTCTTGAGAGAATTGACTAAATGGCACCTCTTTATCGCCGTGTTCACGCATCGAGTTTGAAACGACTTTAAGAATGATACATTTACTTTGGAAAATTGTATTTTCTTCGAGTGTACACTTAACTCTAAAACTAAAGACTAGATTTATTCTGAGTTCTTACTGATATTACTGAATCATCAAGTTGTACTGAACAAGCTGCGTAGAGGTTCTCCATGAGAATTGAGAACTACAGTGCTCCAAGCATGCTAAGCAACAACCCCTAGGATCCTGTCATTACATGGGAGTGGATGGGGAGAAGTCTGAGAAATGTAATGGTGGGGTATACTGGGGGCGGGGGGTATCCCTCTTTCCCCCCAGCATGATTTAATTATTTCATATTAGCCTTTAGGATTAGAAAAGGGGCCATCACAACCTGGCTAATAAAACAAGAGTTCCCATAGAGAATCATCAGGTACTAATCATTTTCGTCATTAATTTTTGCTGGTGTCTATTTCAGAAGATATGGGTTGCACAGAAATTAATAGATAACATAGCTTCTGCCTACCTCTGTCACTGTTCATTGGCTGCTCCTTCGGGACATTCTGGTATTTCTGTCCTCAGTCCCTTAAAGGCACCAAGCTCCTCCCAGTTCTCTGCCTTTACACTCATGGTTCCCTCTGCCCACAGTAAACATCCCCTTGGAAACCCCTGTGATACATACTTTGCTAGTGATGCATTTCCTTGGCATTGCTTGCAGAGTGACTAATTTGTCTAACTCCTCATTTAATGTGTCTTTTCTCCTAAACCATAAGCAACACGAGAGTACTGATTTTGTTTATTCACCATTGTATCCTTATCAGGATTTACATTGCTTGGCCCCTAGGAGTGTTTTGAACAAAAGTTTGTGAAGTGGAGGAAATTCTTGAGGTTTACATCCTTTACAATGGCTAACGAAGAATGCCGCGCGCCTGTGGAGCCAATTATGTGTTAAATTTTTTAACGTAAAAGTAGAATCTTTTGTAATAATAAACTGATAATTGTCCAGATGTGATAATGAAGAAATGAAATCCTAAATCCTTAATGAGAACATATTTATGACCCAGTGAATATTGTAATGTCTTGGACAAAGAATTCTATGAGCTTTGATTTGCAAGAATTTGTGGGTCAGTATCAGGAGCAGAACTCTTGATTTCCCTCTACAAATACATATTAGAATAGTAACAGTAATATGGCTGGCTGGCTATTTTTAAATTCCTTTATAGGTCACTCAGAAGCTGTATCCTGTGGAAAGTAATGATTTTTTAGAGTATTATTAAATGTTTGGTTATTCATTGCTACAGTTTGGAGTGTTGTCATTTTAAGATTCCTATAGTGTGTCGTTTCTTCTGTTCCTCCTGTTGACAGCTGAAGTATTGCTGAATAGATTTCTGACATTAAATAATAAGTGAAAAGCCGAGGACTATCATTTAACACTTCAATTATTTTATTTTTCAAGAGCTTAAGCTTATCACCCCCAAAGTTATGTATGCTGGGATATGAGTAAAATTCAACCTCCATGTAAGATACCACCATACAGTCTTCTCTTCATCAAATAAATACTAAACTGGAGGTATAGTTTGTCAAAAAAAAATGTCATTTTTGAGAAAGGTTCAAATTCTTCATCTAGGGATATTCTGGAATATGCCATCGGTGGAAACTTTTATTAAGTTATTGGAATTAAGTGCCCAGAAGGAAATGTGTTACTACTTCCTAAAAATGTTTGAATAAAAGCTATTACTCTGAATAATGTATTCTCTCCAGGTAATTGCTTAGACCTTAAAAAACTAGCTCACATAGGCTTGCACTTACTCATCTTTTACTGTCCTTTGTAAGGAAGACAAACTGGGAAAGAAATAAAACATTCCACCCCCAATAGGCCAATAATCCTTTAAAAAAAATCCATTGTGCAAAAACTATTTTTTCTGGTTCCTGTGAACTTATGACAAGGAATATATCCAGGAACAAGGCTTCAAAACCTAAGCTATGTTCCATTGCTGGCCGTTACCTTGGATTTTAACTAGATGTACAAGTTGACTTCTGACCATGGGGAATCCTCTCCATGCATGGATTTATGGATTGTTGAGGCCATGGCAGATAACCAGTTCCACAGAAGCAACTCCATGTTCTTCTGAGGAAGATCCATAGTGCTGCAGAACAAGGAATATAAATGAGCGATGCCACAAGACACTGCAACTGGGGTCATCAAAATACAACCCTCAAAAACGAACTCTGAAGGTGGAGAATCTACAAGGAAAAATATTTTTTGAAACATAGACATTTTTAAATGGTTTCATATTAAGAGCACTGATAGACGTTCACTAGCCATGGCATGTGCTTCTTAAACATGTAACAGCCAAAATATCTGTTGATTCCAAGTTTATTAAGTAGACAGCTGAATAAATTTGTTAAAAAAAACCTTTCAGCATTGCCAGAATTAAGAAAAAAGAAAGAAAAAAGAAAGAAAGAAAGAAAGAAAGAAAGAAAGCAAGAAACCTCCAGTGTCTAGAGAGGAAAACACCAAAAGAAACTATTCAAACTGCAGTAATAAAATATTTGGCCTTTAATCATTTCCAATTAAATTATATTTGAAAGCTCCCCCTCCCCCACCCAGAGTCATACACAAACACACCAATTTTTAAATGTTTTATAATGGTCAAAGGAGGGCTTTACATAGATATGTTTATTAATGGAACCCACTTTTTAAATTAGGTTTTAATAAGTTGCTAATGCAGTTTAGCCTCAAATCAGTTCCATCTCATTCTCAATCCCTTTCCTGATGTCTAACAGTTAATGTCGTCTAACATGAAGAGAGCTTCCTGCGGCATTTTGGGAATTACCTGCGTGGGGCTTAAGTAAGTACAGTTTATAAAGTTCTCTCTCTCTTCCTCAGCGCCCACTAGGAACGATAAAGGCATTTCCAGAGGTAAGTGATTCTCTTCCTCCCTCTGCTCCTCCCCTTCCACCCCCTCCTCCTCCTCTTCTATTTCCTCGTCTTCTTCCTCTTCCGCCTCTTCCTCCTCCTCTTCCTCCTCCTCCTCTTCCTCTTCCTCCTCCCCCTCATCCACACAGTCCGCCTCTTGGACCTCCTCTTCATCTTCGGCCTCTGCCTCCTCCTCCTCCTCCTTCTCCTCCTCCTCCTCGCTCTCCTCTTCCTTCCCATCACACTCCTCCTCATCATACTCCTCCTCATTTTTCTCCTCGTCCTCCTCCCCAGGCTGTGCTGTCGGAGACTGGTCCGGAGGGAAGACCAGAGGCGGGTTCTGCGCAAAGCTGTACAAAGTTTCCCGCAGCTCCGCGGCTTCTTCGCCGCCGCTGGGGGGCGCGTTGTTCCAGGAGGGGCCCTCGGGGGAGGCCGGGCCGCGCGCCTGGGCCTGCTGCGCCCGCAGCGCCTCCTGCTGGCGCTCCAGCTTCTCCTGCTGCCGCATGTCCTCGTAGATCTGGTTCATGATGAACTGGGTGGTGTTCCGCGGCGCCCGCATGCCGGGTGCCCGCCACCCGTACAGGTTGACCGGCCGGAGCAGCGTGCTCAGATCCACGGGCGGGCTCCTGGGGAAGGAGCGGCGAGGGTGGCGGCGCAGGCCGCGGCCCCTGCGGCCCCAGCGCTTCTTCCTGCCCGGGGGCCTGGCCCAGCGCGGGCTCCAGGGCCCGCGCCAGCAGGAGCAGCAGCAGAGGCAGAGCGGGTGCAGCCCGTACACCCGGATCACTTGCACTCGGCCTGGAGGCCTCCAGCATCCCTCTGGAGGTGGGCGCCAGGGCCCTCCCCAGCGCCCCCAGTTAGAGTACACCTCCCAGTGGGGCCGTCGGGGTGGTTGGAACCAGGGGCCCGGACCGTGCTGTTGCTTCCTGGGGGTCTCATACTCAGACTTGGGACCAGAGCGGTAGCGCCGCTTGTTTATTGGAGCGCCCCTGCGCCTTCGGTGCCAGGAAGACCAGGTGCCTAACGGGGCCGAGGATGCCCAGCCGCCGCCCAGGTTCAGAGGGTCCTCCCTTTTGTGGAGAGTCTGGGTCATCGTTCAGGGAGCTCCGGGAGGTCTAAATGGAAGCGTCCGGGTAGCGGTCAAGTTTGGCCAGATCCGAAGAGCTGAAGAGCCTCGTTAGTCTGCTCAGAACCACGTGCCTGCTCCTGGGATCACGCCTTTCTCTCCAAGAGGACTCCTCTTCTCCCTCTTCTCTGCTTGCTTGATCGCTCTTCCTTCGTAAACTCTTCGCACCCGAGTTGTCTTGCCCAGGTGGGTTGGGCGGGACTGGGGCTGGGTAAGGATGGTGGGGGAGGAAGGTGTTGGTGGGCGACGCACAGCGAGACCCGCTCCCGGGTCCCACACACACCCGCCTCGAAAGAGGCGCGGGCTGGGAACCGGGGAGGCAAGGGTTGCGCGTTACCTTGCAGCTCACTCCCAACCCAGGTGCTTCACCGTCGCAGTCCTGGTGGGACTGAGGGGCCGAGGCCAGAGGCAGCCTTTAAATATCGGCCGGAGCCGCCGCGTGCCCACCGCGTCCTTGGTTGCCCAGGGTGATAGCCAATTGGGGCCGAGGTCGTTCCCCTTGTGGTGGAGGGGGATTCCGGGTGGAACGAGGTGCCCTGTGAAGGTTCGCAGAGGGCTTGTGACGCAGTTTTTGAAGGAGGGAAAGAGGGCCCTAGGCTGGGGTTGTGCTCAACTCTGATAATATTTGATACCTTTGTACCCCCTGGACGTGTGAGCATATGGAAGCTGGACCGTTAGCTGAACCTCTTGGAAGGGGGGCAGGGGGGTGGGGGCTTGTACATTGGAAAACTTATAAAGGGAAAGTGCCTAGAGTCAGAAAACTGTGCCCCACTCCTTCCCTTATGGCCTGTGCCCACTCTTCTAACTCTTGAGAGTTATAGTGCGTCATGTGGGAAAACACTACCACGAACATTTATTGCGTGTGCCTGCAACAAGCGTGGGCTCACGGCACGTAGCCCTCACACCTCCCCTGTGAGGTAGGCATTGTTATCACACCTCACAGAGTAGGAAATTGAGAGGTTATTTTACCAAGGGGATTAAACGCTTCGGGGCTGGTATTGAAACCTAGGTCTGTCTGGCCACAGAACCCACATGCTTAACCACGTGACTCTCCTCAACTGCCACCCTCCTTAAATAGGACTCTTGTGAGGAGTACATGAAATCCTATAGGAAAGCACTGTGCTAATTGTATCATAGCACGCGAATGTCCACTGATTAAATAAATAGTACCAGGATGTATATTCGTGAGAACACAAATATGCCAGTTATGTCTTTTCATATGTCCCTCTATCTGTACCAGAAAACCCATTCGTTGGGAGCGTTTATAACATTACATTGAAAATACGGGCTTTGATTTAAATTATCATGAATATACGCTGAGTGATGCTATAAGGGTGGATGTGTGTCATTATGCATTCGTCCAAATCCATAGAATGGGCAATATCAAGACTGAACCCTAATGTGAACTATGGACTTTGGGTGATGATGATGTGTCACTGTAGGTTGATCGGTTGAAAGGAAAGTACCATTCTGGTGAGGGATGTTGGTAACCGGGGAGGCTCTGCATGAGTGGGGAGGGGGGTATATGGGAAATCTCTGTATATGGGAGATCTTACACTCAATTCGAATGTGAACCTAAGCTGCTAAAAAACTTGAAATCTATTAAAAAATGTGCTTGAATTTCAATTTACCGATTATTAGTCTCTGTAAACCTCAGATTCCTTACCCATACCCAGAAAACAGTTATAGTACCTATTCCATAGGGTTGTGTTAATGATTACATAGGGCACTTCATTAAAACAGCTAGTGCAGGTAACCCATGAGCACTCAGTAGCTGTTAACTATCGTTGTCATACTAACTACTTGAGGATAAAGAAGTTGATTCAGTGTATGTAAAGATTAGTAACCCTGTGGGTAATGCCCAAATAGGTTTCCTTGCCCTGTGACTTTTTCTCGTTCCACTTTTCAGAAACATCAAGGAAATGCCCCGAGGCCTGATCCTAGAGAAAAACCATCTCAGGGTATATCCCTTTATTGCTTTCCTATGGTGAGTAGAATTGCGGAAAATGGAACGTTGCCCATTGGGAACCTGAGTCTATACAACCCCCAGTAAATGGCAAAGAAGTAAAAGGTGGAAGCGCCATGAAGCCTGCAGAGGTCATGCAGGCTTTCCTGGTTGAAAACGGAGAACAGTGTGGAGATTCTTGGATCAGGATTTCAGCCATTGCCGTGGGACCTGCAGGCTCCACAGGCTTCATTCAATTTTGGTTGCTCTGTGGTTTGCTGAGACTAGCCTGCTTGACTCAAAGTGCAGAATGCTGACACATTTAGCCTCCAGTGTCCCTTTCTGGATGTAGACCCAGACATTTGGCAGTTACTGTCCCTTTACTCTGCTTAATTCAAATTGGAATGGTGACACCCCAGATTTATTTTTTCTGAGGACCTATGTGGTATATGATATTGGGTTTTAATTGGGAACTTTAAAAACTGGCCGTGGTGCCATAGTGGAATTCTCACCAATGTCTTGTTTCAAAAAAGGTTAACTCAGATAATTAAGGACATTGTTTTTTGTACAGTTGTTCCACGGTGACGTATACATTTCATATTAATTCTCCTTATTAAAGAACATTAATGTGGTATTGTTCTTTACCCATGGCTTAGTATAGCTTAGTATGTTGTTAATACAACATGTTCTACTGCTGTGTAACAAATTCTCACAAACTCACTGAAACAATGTACACTTGTTACTTCAGAGTTTTCGGGTGTTAGTTGGGTCCTCTGCTCAGGGTCTCACCAGGCTATGGCCAAGGCACTTGTCTGGCTTGGTTCTTATCTGGAGGCTCCATTTGGGAAAATATTATTGGCAGAATTTGTTGTGGGTATACAAATTAGGACCCTGCCTTTAGGACCCTCCAGCTGTCTGTTGGACAGACAGAATTTTTTCTGGAGGATGCCCTGAGGTTTGGAGGCCACCCACAAGTCCTAGGGGTCAACAGCCATTCCTAGAGACCATTCTCACTTCTTTGCCATGGGAAGGCCTAGGCTCAGTATGGCTACTCACTCCAATCAAGTCAGCAAGGCAGATCTCCCTGGTGCTTCCTAGCACAATGAATACACACACACATACATATGTATCATAGCATGGGCTTGACATTGACATTTGTGACATCCATCATCTTTGTTATACTCTATTGGTTAGAAGCAAGACCCCATGTCTTACCGGCATTCAAGAGGAAAAGGTTCCACAAAGGCACGGATACCAAGAGGTGGGAAGTTAATTGGGGGATTACCTTAGAGTTTGTTCATCACATATACCAAGTAAATTTAGTAAAATATGTACTTCTTGGTAGCTAGTTATGATTTTATTTGGGAGACTTAATGACATTTTACATTTTGAAATTCCACTGAGTGCCACATGACAGCATAGGTTACACTAGGCTTTATGTACGCGAGACAGTATATTTTTAAGTTGAAAACACACTGCTATCTTAGTGTTGTTTTTTGTGCATTTGTGTGAATTGAAAAGGATGAATTCAAACACTTGATGGCAGTAGTAACTCATTCAAAATTCGGTCAGCGAAAGCCCTGGTATACAAAACAAGCTATGAGAATATAGGTACTTCATTTTTATATTTATCACGAACACTATATTTAAACTATTCCAGTTTGCCAATGTGAGTTACTAGATTTTAGCATTTTTTCAATTGGCTTTTAGAAAGCAAACCTCAGTTAATTAAACGTATAAAAAATTCTCTAGCTAGAAGTTGGATATACCTGATACATTTGGTCAGATATATAAAATCCAACAAATATTTTTTTAGATCCGTCTTTGTAACCAATTAAGTTCTATGGTAAATGAAAAAAACAAATAAATGGAACATATTTTATGCACTCTCAAGAACTTGCTTTTTGCCACCCTGAAGGTATCCATGCACAGGAAGTTGAAACCACAAGGGGAGGCGCCATCTATTGGTCTTAGAGGCTAAATGCAAAGTATTAAGACCAGCTTTCAAAGTGGGTGATGGGCATTGAGGAGGGCACCTGTTGGGATGAGCACTGGGTGTCGTATGGAAACCAATTTGACAATACATTTCATATTAAAAAATAGTGAGATACAAATTACTCATTGCTTTCCCTTGATAATTTGAGAAGTTTGGGGTAGTTGGCATATTGTGAGGCCTATTGTGCATCAAAGAATAACATTGTGGTGCTTTTCTACTTATGACTCCTCGTGTCATTTAAGTAAATTATGAAGAGAAAGTTAACTTTGTAATGAGATAACTACAAAGACAGTTTCTGTAGATTTAAAGAGAAGTAAGGATGGGAATTTTGTACTGGTAATCGTACTATGTGTAGGTATTATTTGTTATCACACTTTGAAAATATTACTAATCTTTTATTCACTCAAGATTTTCAGGGAATTAACCTGACGTACTGTAGTCATGACATCTGAAAAACATGTGTAGTCAGTAATGATTAATTAGGAATTATTAGCATGAAAATGTTTGTTTATAAATAAGTTTAAAGTATGCTGTATTGTGGGGCAACAGAATGAAGTGCCCCTCCCCAAAAATGGCCTGGAATATTCGAGAAAAATAAACCTGTGTAGCAATTGAATAAAGAAAACAAAGTTTATTAAAAAACACAGCATTTAATCAGAGGCCAGTTTTAGAATTAAAGCTTTCAATGAAGAATGTGACGTGTTGGAACTGGCCACTGAAAAATAGGATGCATTTACAAGGAATGCTAAAATGTTATCATCATATTGCATATTCCATATGAAATAAGGAAACATATAATCCAGGCTAGATTCATTACTGCATATTTATTATCATTATTATCATTATCTTGCTTTGTTTTATATTAAAAGAATGAAGACATTTTTATAGGTCTCTAAAACCATTATGGGACTTTGGCAACTGTGAAATCCTTAGCTGAGAGCCTAGTTGGTTCATGTAGGATTTCTGACCTATATAAACTGTGAGATAGTAAGATGCTAATTTTGTGCCAATTTTTTTAAAGCAATAATAGAAAACGAATATAGAGTTGCAAAGTTAGAATTCTACTTTTAGTCTGATTCAGAATCATGTATTGGAGTGTGTCTAAAAAGTCCAAACAAAAGCTCAATTAATTTCTAAATATCACTGTTTTATAATGATGGCTTGATGGTTATTCTTTTCTAAGGTTTACAACTTGGGGTATACAAATTATGATTCACAGGGTGCATGATTAATTTTACTTCATATGTCTCAAGCAAATTAATATATATTTTTAATTATTACAGACATATTGGTATTTATACTTTTAAACTGAAACAAAGAAATGCTTATGCATCTACTGTGGAGAAACATAACAATTCTTTTCAATGGCTGAACTACAGAGGTTCTGGATTTAGCTACAATGTCTATAAATAGTGGCATATGATGGATGGTATGAAATAATGAGAAAAATTTCAGAAAATATAGATGAAGAAATATATTTGCCTGAAAGAGATAGTTGAAAATAAAAATATATACTTTAAGTTTTTATTTATTTTTTATTTTAAAAATTTTAATGTTTATTTTTGAGAGAGAGAGAGAAAGAGCGTGAGTGGGAGAGGGGCACAGAGAGAGGGAGACACAGGCTCCAGGCTCCAGGTTTCAGTTTCTGGGCTGTAAGCACGGAGCTCGACCCCATGAACCATGAACTCATGAACCAGGAGATCATGACCTGAGCCGAAGTCTGACGCTTAACCTACTGAGCCACGCAGGCGCCCCAATATATTGTATGTTTTTAATTATTAAAGGTGTACTATTGCCAATTGTCTCTTTTTTTACTTTAATATATTAATTCAGAAATAGTTAGGCAAGGGCACCTGGGTGGCTCAGTCTGTTAAGTGGCCGACTTCAGCTCAGGTCATGATCTCACAGTTCGTGGGTTCGAGCTCTGTGTTGGGCTCTGTGCTAACAGCTCAGAGCCTGGAGCCTACAGATTCTGTGTCTCCCTCTCTCTCCACCCCTGCCCCATTCACACTCTGTCTCTCTCTCTCTGTCTCAAAAATAAAATTTAAAAAAAACAACATAAGAAACAGATTATGCAATGATGAAGAAGTTTGATATTAAAACATTTTCGTGAGGTATAGAGAATTGTGCACTCTCCCACACTGTTGGTGAAAGTATAAATGGGTATAACATCTTTGAAGGCCAATCTAGTAATATTTATTAACATTTAAAATAATATGCTCTTCAACCCAGAATTCCATTTCTATGGCTTTACCCACAGATGTACTCTCACATGTACACAAAATTATTTTTGTTTACATAAGGCTAGTCCTTCCAATTTTAGTGTAAATAAAAGAACATAAAATGTATGCTCATGTAATGGGCTGATACGTGCTTTTCAGAATCAGTAGAGCTGTATGTGCTGATATGGAAAAATCATCGAGAAATATTTTTAAGTGAAAGAAGCAAGGTTTAGAATAGTGATTATTGTAGTTAAAAATCCATGTTTACATGTATAGATGCATATATTATGGTGATATATATGTGTGTGTGTGGCACCTGCACGTGTATATTTGTAATAAAGAGGAGTAATTGCTTATGTACAAGTTTTTGTTTCTTACGGAAACTTTCACAAAAGTGCAAGAAACCATGGCCTAGTTTGTTCTTGGGAGTGGAACTTGAAGTTTGCAGCTGGAAGGAAAATCACCTTTCATTGTATATTCTTTTGTCATCTTTCACTTTTTAACCATGTGCCTGTATTATGATCATACATTTCAGAAAGATCAACTTACCTTAGAAAGCATTCCTTAGTTTCTTCCCTAATGTAGCTCTCATATCATCCATTGTCTGTTTTCTAGTTTATAAACTTTATTTTGTTCACAGGCATAAAGATATACCAACAGAATGATTCGATAGTTATCTAGTTGTGTTCAAGGGATGAGACAAGCCTAAAGTCTTCCTACTACACCCCCATCTTATGAGATATGCCAACAAATTTCCATTTAAGCAAGGTTCTAGAATGAGTTGATAGATCTTTAAGGTGATAAAACATTATTATTCAACAACCAAAGCCATGTGTTTTTTTTGTTGTTGTTGTGTTGTTGGATATAATTATTTGTATGTTGCATTATAGTGAATATTTGCCCACAAGGCCATTGTAGATTTCAAATACTTTTATTCTCTCTTTGATTTTCTTTAATAAATTTGGAAACAGAAACATGCTTTAGTGGAAAAAAAAAGGAAAAGGTAAAGTTTAATTAAAAAATCTAAATCTTGACAATACACCTAAAGTGCTCATTTAAAATTTTTTCTTTATTATGTACTTAACTTGAAACTATATGGGACAGAAATCCTTAA